GAGAGAGAGAGAAACTAAATAAAGAAAGGAAACCCCCCACAAATATCAGAAGATTAAGAGTTGCTGGGAGGGAAGGTAGGTTGGATGAGACAGGCAACAGGCGTGGGGCTCTTCCTGGGATAATGGAAATGCCCTAAATTGGTTGTGGCGATAGAGGCACAACTGTGAGAAAAATGGTGAGTTTTGCACTTCGAGTGATGGTGTACTGTGTGAATGATGTCTCCGTAAAGGTGTTTTTACAACGGGGCTGAGAGCATAGCTCAGTGAGAGGGTGCACATCTAGCGTGCACAGGGCCCCGGGCTTGATCCTCAACACTGGAAAAAAATAAAAATAAGACAAGTGAAGTGTTGGGTGAGTGGCCGGAAGGAAGGCGGCTCCTCCAGCATGGCAGGGGAGGCCATGTGAGACGCAGACAGCCTTGACGGCAGGACTTTGCCTCCAAGAGACCTCCAGGCAGGCGAGTGATGCGGCGTCCCCTGTGGCCTGCGTCCACCACCCGCCTCACAACAGGCAGGCTGGAGACCGTCCGCCTGGGGCCTGAGAACTCGCAGGACTCTCCTAAGCTACCCAGCTTGGATTAGCAGGACCACAGTTAAAACGCCAACGTCTCACTGCCAGGCTCTGGTCCTGGTTTTCCCCCACCACGGAGGGCTCTCGCCACACCAGACTGACAGCCGCGGGAGGCAGCTCACCTGTAACCCTTGGCGCAGAGGCAAGTGTAGCTGTTGACTGCGTCCACACACTGGGCCCCATTCTGGCAGCGGTGGCCCCTGCAGTCGTCTTGATCCTCACTGCAGTTGTCACCTGTGTAACCAGGTGCACATTCACACCTGGAGGTAGGGAGGAGTTGGCATGAGCTGATCATTCAGCCCAGAGCTCAGGCAGCTGAGGCCCAACCCGCCCGTGTGTGACTGAAGAGCTCAAGTCCCAGGGATTGGTGGAGCCCCTAAGAGGTCACACAGTATCAGGGGCCCTGTCCATCCTGAGAGTCCTTTTTAGTGTGAGAAGAGAACTTGTACAGAGCTGGGGCTGCGGGGGAGCCTGGGCTGGGACGTGGATGCCAGGAACAGAAGGAGGGGAATCATGCCACAGAGGACTACTGCCCCCACCAAGAGCACATCCAAGGCCACCTTCGGCCCCTTCCCAACCTGGCTCACTGCCCCTCTGTTCCCTGTGTCCCTTGGGTCCCCAACACAGGCGCATCCCACAGGCTCCGTGCTCCTCTTCCCCAGTCTCGTCTGCCCTCCTGGGCCCAGGCTGCATTCTGCAGATGCCCCTCCACAGGCAGGCAAGTCCACACTTCTTCAGCAAAATCTACACTGATCCTTCTTCCTCCACAGGATGAGTGACGTGCGCTAGTGACCTTGAATTAGCACAGGTCAGCCCTTCTTACCAAATAAGGTCAGGTCAGATTTTGTCATCAGTGGAGTTCTTTTTGGATTTTTAGAGCTCTGTGGGTTTATAAGCAGGGATGAGAGGTTTTGAATCTAGAGGGAACCGCTCTGGATAGGACACTGCGACATGAGGCATGGAGCTAAGCGCTTTCCAAGTGCTCTCAGCTAACCTGTCCAGCTGCCCCTGGAGGAAGCTCCTGCTTGCTCGGTTTAGGATGAGGAAGCAGCCAGCGTAGCCAAGCAATGCCACCAAGGCCGTGTTGCAGGCCCAGCTCTGCCTGGTCACAGAGCTGTGCCCATCGCCACCCCTGCATGGTCTTGCAGAAGCTTGACAGCGGAGCCCACCTCCCCCACCCCGCAGCAAGAGAAACAGGACGGCAGGAGGCAGAGCCCACACCAGAACTGCAGGCCCTAGTTACAGGTGGCACTGACCTGGGCCCGTCTGGGGTGCCTACACACTGGGCCTTATGCTGACACGGGTTCAGATCTGGAGAGCAGAAATCCACCAGCTGCTCGCAGGCCCTTCCTGAGGGAAGAAGGAATGAGCGGCAGGAGGGGAGCCAGGCCCAGCAAGCCTCCTGCTGGTACCAGAAAGGCCGCAGCCCTCGCACCCATAGCACATGTCTAGTGTGCCCTGCCCCCCACTCACCCACAAACTGTGGGGGGCACTGGCAGGTGTAGTTGCTCACACCGTCCACACAGGTGCCCCCGTTGGCACAGGCCTGCTCCACACAGTCGTCCACGTTCACCGCACAGGTTGGTCCTTCAAAGCCGATGGGACAGGAGCACCTATGGGGACAGGGAAGGATGGGGAGGCGCCTTCCTGGGTGGGAGCCTGAGGCCACAGGTCAGGATCATCACTGTGCAGAGCCGTGGCTTCTGCCTTGGCCAGACCTCGTGCGGGCTGTGAGGGCAAGGGCAGAACAAGACCAGCCCAGCTCCTGTAGGCGCGCTCAGTCTGCGGGGGAGACAGAGGAGCAGAGCCACTGGAGGAGCAGTGCCAAGCACTGAGGCTGGAAGCACTGAAGCCAGGGTGTGGGCACAGAGGGGAGGGACAACTCCCTCCTCCTTGGCAGGGAGTGGTTGGGGCAGGCTTTGGGTAAGGTGATAAACTGACCTAACCAAGGACCCCCAGGGGACTCCAGGAAAAGGGAGGGAAGGCAGTGGGGTGGAGAGGTGGGTAAGAGCCAATGTGAGGGGGGTCCCGTGGGTCATCCTCTGGGAAGGGACCTGCTCATACACACAGTTCAGAATTCAGGAACACAGACTTCGGGGACAGGGTAAGGATGGGGTGGGGTGAAGAGGGCCAGGCTGTGGAAGGTCCCAGATACTAGGGATTTTTTTTTTTAATCTTTATTTGTATATTTGGTACAGCATCGCTTGGACTCATTGTGATCCTCCTGTCTCAGCCTCCCCAGCATGGTGTGTGCTACCACGCTCAGTTTTAGGGCTAGCATGTCATGCGGTACCAGGGATCAAACCTGGGTCCTTGCATTTGCCAGACAGGTGCTTAGACTACTGAGCTATCTCCCTAGCCCTATACTGGGGATCTTCAAACCAAAGTACACCTTTCTCTGGGCACCTAAGTTTCACCAAAGGATGTGAGAGCCAGAGAAGAAGAACTTCATGCCCAGCTCTTCAATCCCAACATGCCCAGGATCCTGCAGAGGCACCCCGCTCTCAGGTCAAAGCCAAGGAGGGACATTGCCCCAGGTACCAAGTAAGGGAGTAGCCAGGGACATGGATAAGTAGACAACAGCTAAAGCAGTGCATTGGAGAAGTCAAGGGCTTTCAAGTTCTGCATGTTGAAAATGAAGGGAGACTTCTTAGAACTGTCATCTGACAGAGTATTAAAAATACTTTTGATGATAGATCACTCTATAATTTAGGGCACACAACCTGGGAAGGGTTTCAAGGAATTGAGAGACACAACTATAATGAAACTGCTTCTAATCTGATCAGTACATTTATGTGAACAAACTTTTCCAGAGTTTATACCTATAAAAACAAAACAAACCAAGAATATAGTATATATAGTATAACATTCCATAGACATATATACCAACTGAGAGATGAATGAACCCATCCAGTCTATTAAGGGTCCTTGTGGAGGACCACGTGGACGACTCCTTGAAAGAAGAGCAGTCGTCTCCATTTTGGCTGAGCCTGACCCTATTTCATGTATTCATATGTACAGAGCTGGCTAGGACTTTTCTTTATCCCATCAGTTGGCTTTAAGCAACGTCTATTGGTCTAGCCAAGGAGCTGGTAGTAGTCTTTGAAGACAACACACGTGTTTCCCTGATAACCCATACCTGCTGCTCTTTAGTATGAGCCAGGTCAAGATGGGATGAAGAGAAAAATATATAAATAAATAAAAATAAAAAGATGAGATGAAGAGCCAGTGCTTCACACCGTCGGCTAGGATCAAGCCTCGAGATACAGGCTGTGACTTCCTGGGGCTTGAAAGATTACACATCAGAGCTGAAGCGCCAGACCCCAAAACATTAGGTACTATACCAATTGTATAGTGCAGATTACTCTCTGCATACTGCAGAGGTCAATACAGCCCTCCTACCTAGCCCAGCTCACAGTACTTACCTACTTCCTACGATTCTCAGTCATCCATCCTCAAGCCACTCCTCCTTCATGACTGAGTAAAACCCAGGTTCAGGCCTGGGTCGAAGCCTTTGCTCTGGATAGCCACCATCATGGCTGGACTTAGGGCCCCTGGGCTCCCCATAACTATAAATATGCCGTAGTGTCTTCATTCTTGCTGTGGGTTGCAATTAACTTGACAGGATTCTAATAACTTATCAAATTGTAAGTTACAAATGTAAACTTCCCAGACCGAGATGAGGATCAGGAAGTACTCTCTCTCTACAGATCATTATCTAAACATTTTCTTTTTATGCTTACGATCAGTCAGCTTTTTCAGTAATTATGTGGTTTTGCATGGCTATATATTATTGATAATTATATGATAGTACAAAAACCACTTCCAACTAGACACTTATGATGACACAGAATATGAAGAGAGACTTTAATATTAACTCTTTTTTCCATGTCTGTGGCAGAGGAGCTAGTACATGATCTAATTAAAAAATCTTATTACATTAAATGAAGAGTAACAAGGTCAAAATACAATAGAAAAAAGGAGAACAGGGACGCCAGGCAGGAGGTGCATACCTATAATTCCAGTTTTGGACCAGGGACTTGAGATCGAGGTCAGCCCAGACAACTTAGCAAGGTAGTAACTAAACACACCCCTGCTCCCTTTCCTCAGAAACCAAAATCCACCATGACAACCTTAGCTGGCATCCAAGAATGTGTGTAGAGTAACATCAGTTTAAATTTTGCCTGGGGGGTGCTCTGTGATGAAAGAGGTCTGAAGCCCCTGCTCAGGGGATGTTTTGAAGAGTCACAACAGCATGATTTCAAGCTGGGCTTACTGGGGTGGCAGGCTCACTTTGCATGGAAGAAAGCCCCTCTGGCAGGAGCTAGAGGCAGGGCAGAGCAGGGGGCATAGGTAAACGGGAGAGCGCCTCAGGTCGAGGGGCAGCTCGAGAAGATCCCCTATCTGTAGAGCCCTCCCTGCTGGGGTAAGCAAGGGCCAGGCTGCGGGGGTTCCAAGCCCCGGACCAGGGGCTGGTGAGATAGCTCAGGGATCTAAAGTGCCTGTGTAGGCAAGCTTAGGCAGGCGCAGGGGACCCAGTCGATCCCCAGCACCACATGCTGCCCCAGCCCCACTCTTAGGGTGGGCTGAGCTGGCCAAAACAAAAACAAGGAAAACAAGACCCTGGGCCCCAAGGGGGGCTTTGCCTGTGAGGAGAGGTCTGGGGAAGGGGAGGGGAGCTCTGCTGGAGCGGGGCCAGGGTCTGAGGACCTGTGCCTATCTTAAGGATTTTCCCAGGTGACCCAAGCGGGAGGCCACTTAACATTTTATTTTGGGCTGGGGAGATGGCTCAGTAGAATAAGCGCTGGCCTGGCAAGCACAAGGGCCTGAGTTCAATCCTCAGTTCCACCAAAAAAAAAAAAAAAAAACCATTTTATTTTTCCCATCTGGTAAGTTGGGTTTGCAGAGGCAGGTTTGGCCAATTCTGGCAGATTCAACATCATCTTCTGAAGAGTTAGTTTGTCCAGTGACCGATTTATTTTCAGAAACTACACACTATATATTTCTCAGAAAAGCTCTGGAAAGGGAGGGGTGGTGGGGGTCCTGGGGAAGGGCAGTGGGAGAGGCTTAGATGTGACTTCAGCGCCAGTGGGGCCTGAGGGGTGAGAATGGGTTGGGAGGGCCTCAGAGGGAGTGGCTGGGGCTTGGTGCCACTTGGGCAGGCCTCTGCCACCCTGCAGCAGCCTAGGCTACAGGGCTGGGCGCAGGGTGGCAGCCGGTAGGACCAGCCGGCGGGGCTATCTTCGAGCACTGGTACATTCAGTGGGCTGTTTAGCGCAGAGTGGACGCACTGGGGGTCAGTGAAGATTTAGGGGCACAGCAAAGGCCCCCAGTCTGCCCCGACACTAGCACTGCGTATATCCTTGGTCCTAGATTCCCAGCGCCCCAGAAGTACTCTGCAGCCAGCACCATGCTAGGGCAAGGCAGACTCCAATCCCCAGGTCACCCCTGTGACCTTGTGTTGGGTGACCTGGCTGTCCTCTGAGCTCTCTGCTTTTACCTCATAGGATGAGAAGGAGCTTGGCTATGTGGCCTCAGTCAGCCTACCAGCTGTGATGTGGAGCATTCACCTGTGCCCCTGGACACCATCCCGCTTCCTGGAGCACAGGGAGGCCTAGTCATCCTCTATGGGGCAGAAGCGCACCAAGGCCGGGATGGTGGCCCATCAGCACCCCGGCATTCTGCCCCTTCGGGCTACTCACGTGAAGCTGGCATCCTCGCCCTCCTCAGCTTGGCAGGTACCCCCATTTTCACAAGGGCTGCTGGAACAGCCGTCTAAGGATATCTCACAGTGTCGGCCCTGGAGGAAAAGTCAGGGGAGCATGTCCCAGCAGAGGGAGCCAGCCTCTCTACAGCTTGGCCTCACTGTCCCAGAAGTTAGTTGGTTATTCTTTCATTCATCCATTTACCCACCCACTCATTCATTTATTCATTTACCCACCCACCCACCCATTCATCCCTCCATACGTTAGGTCACTGATGACAGATTCACCGAAGCTGTGAGCTGGGCACTGCCTGGCACTGGGGACAGCCTGGAGCAACCAGACAGCCAACCCTGCCTGGCCTGCGGCACACATGCAGAGCCACCTCCTCCCAGCCTCAGCCTTTACTCACCTTATAGCCGCTGGGGCAGGAGCACCTGTACACCTCAAGGGGGTCATTGCGGCAGGTGCCCTGGTTTTGACATGGGCTAGACAAGCAGGGATCACACTTGGCCTGGACAGCCAGAGTGGGCGGGCCTGTGGACACAGGAATGTTAGTGTAGAGGGTGGAGACAGCTAAATAGGCCTCTGCCCAGAGCCCCAAAGCCCTGCACAGCTCAGCCTTGGAGAGGTGGCAGCACGGCACTCCCCAAGTTCTCTCTGTGCCCTTGGGGTCCTGGCACCCTCCTCTTGCACAGTCCACCTTCCCAGCCTTCAGGCCCGCTTGTATGCCATGGGCTGTGCCAGCCCCAGTCTGGGCTAGCAGGACTAACTGCTGGAATCTGCAGAGTGCCGGGTGGGTAGGCACTCAGGCATATGAGCGGTAGAGTCACATCACCAGCACGAGAGTGGCAGTCACCACGACTGAAGGCAGCTGATATCTCCACTTCCCCTCACAGCCTCCTGACATGCTCCCAGCCTGCACACACTCGCAGATAAAACAGGGCAGCCATGAGCAGAAGGGAAGGTCGTTTCTGAGCTCAGCTCTGCAGGGAGGCCACGTGGGAAGGGGCATGTGTCTTGAGGTTGTGCTTGTCCAGCGTTAAGGCAGGAGGACCTCCTCCTACCACCTCTAGGGCTACAGCAGGCTCCTCTACAGCTTTCCTGGGTGCAGCTGGAGAAGCAGTGACCAGGGTAGTGGGCAACACCTGTACGGGGCATCGGGGCCCCACAAGATATGCAGAAAAGCCCGGCCCGTTAACGTGGGCTTCCCCGTAAGGGTCCTTCTGGAAGCAGTGGCATGCCAGTACTACTACAGAGGCACGAACAGAGTAACAACACTTCTCAGTAATGACAGGAAATTGGAGGGGCACAAGGTGGGCTCTGTCTCTTGACCAGGTGCTGGCTGCTTTCAGTTAGTAAAGATGCGTATAGTTCTTTGCTCTCATATGTTGTATTTCAATAGAAAATCATAATTTAAAAAAAAACGAAACAAAAAACCACACCAGCACCAAGCCTACCCGTTTGGTAAATACCAACACACCAGTGTCAACTGACCTGCTTTCAAAAGCCTCGCCCCAGGCTGGCGCCTGAACGCTTCCGCTCTGACAGCATCCTGCACCCAGGGGGGCCCTGCGTCTCCTCATTAATCTATGGCTGTCACTTCCATTTCTGAGGTGGCCTCTGGGCTTGCAGGGAGCAAGGGCCTTGGCCCTCCCCTGGGGATCCCTGCACAAAAACCTGGGCCTGAGACAGCCACTCAGCCACCTGTCCACGTTCAGCAAGGCCTGTGGGGCTCAGCCATCAGCCAGCCTGTCAGCCAATCCCAGAGCAAGTATTTACAGACGCTTGAGGTGAGGCGCCCGGAGCCAAGCCAGAGCGAGCTGCCAGTCACGCCTAGCTCCACTTTGTGCAAACACAGACAGCGGCAGCTGGCTCACCGGCCCCAGCAGGGCTGGAGAAGGGGTTAGGCTAACTGCTGGGCATGCTACCTACCTAGGGGAGGCTGGGCGGTCCCAGATTGAGCCCTAACAACCTCCAGTTTTTCTGCCTGGTCTTTTCTGTTTGTTACATGTCAGGACTGGAGGCAGCCGCCCTAACAAGCGGCAGGTGCTTCATGGTGGATGCCCACCACTCTAGCTGTTGCCGCCCGGACACAGCAGCATCCAGAAGGCCTTGCCAGGGGCGGGTGAGTCCCAAAGTGGGGGTGGGACTTCAATCGGCACGTGCCACTGTTTCTTCACGCTCCTGGACTCACCTTGGCATTCAAACTTCTTGGCAGGCGTGGTGAGCAGCAGCTTGCCCTCCATGTCTGGGGGCCCAGCACAGCGGGCAATGCCCGGCTCCTTGTAGCCGGTTTTGACCCAGCTGGATAGCCAGCGGAGGTGGCAGTCACAGTACAGAGGATTGGCGCCAATAGCCCTGCAGCAGAGAACAGAAGCAGCATACAGCTCTGGGGCGTCTCTTACCTCCCAGGCTCCCAGGTTCCCGTGCACTGCACCAGGGGCTGGTGGAAACCCTACCGTCCCCACGCCATGGGCACCGACTTGTACCCAGGACATTGACAGTCCTTCCTTCACAGCATCGCCTTGCCCAGTCCTCAGTACCCCCCATCCCCAATGCAGTGTGCAGAAGCTAAGGTTGAGAAACTTGCTAGAGTACACTGAAAGAGAGGAGCTGGGATTTGAACCCTCACTGCTGAGGCTAGAGCCTCTGAAGGCATGCCACCAGCATTCACAGGCACACCTGGTGCCAAGCCTTCCTAGCCCATGCGCGGCATCTTCTCATTAACCCCACATGCAAGTTTTCGCTTCTGCATCTTCCAGGGTTGGAAACCGGGCCTTACACGGAATCAGTAATTTCCCTGGGGCCACACTACCAGTCAAGGCAGCCGCCCGCCTCCAAAGTCCACAGTCTTTATTTTTCTTTCGTTTTTAATTAAACAAAGAACTCATGAGTGCCTTAGCACTGTAAGCCCCTTTTAAACCCTGCAGACAGCGGAAGTCTCCGACCGACTCACACAACACCGTGAATGCATCAAGTGCTACTCAGCTGTGTGCTTTAAAAAGGTTAAGTTTATATTATGTAAAGTTCACCTCAGTATTTTTTAAAGGCACTTTTGTGTATTACTAATGGGGTACAAAATAACTCCTGCAGGGGCGTGCTGCGGCAGCTATTGAATTATCAGTGCAGTTGCTGTTCTGGGATGGATGTGCGCACGCGTGTAAGGATGTCTGCAGTGGCTTTGTTTGTAAGAGAGATTGGCACTTACGGGTTGAATGTCCCTTCCAAAACTCATGCTGAAATGTCACTACCCCGTGACAGGGGTGAGAAGGGCACATTACAGGGGGATGAGCACGGAGCTCCTGAGCGGCCTCGAAGGCCTACCTGTGCTTCCACCAGGCCACGACATCTGCTCCTCCTGGCCCCAGACCTGTGAGCTGAATGAACCCGTATTGTTTACAGTTCATCACATCTGTGGTGTTCTTTTACAGCAGCACAAAATGTACTAAGACAGCTGGGAACCCCCAGTGGCCATCAAGGGGGGAGCAACAAAATTAAGTGTACACAAAAAGCACAACATCCACCGACATCCACCGTCACGCCCTCCACACAGGGGCGCAGGGGCGCAGGGGCGCAGGGGCACATGGTCAGGCAGCCTTCTGGCCCCTCCCTGCACTGACACACACAGCAGGGAGGAAGACACAGCTTGCAGCCACACCTCTCATTTCTTGTCACCAAACGGCATGCCCTGGAAACCTCCCGGGTCAGCATTGGTGGATCCACCTCATTTTGTCAAACTGCTTCATAGTATTCAAAAGAATGTTATGGGACTCCCTGAGATGCCCCAACATTCAGCAAGTAACTTCCCTGGTGCTAGATGTCCTGGTGGTTCTAAGGCTGGGAACGTTCAACTGCGCCTCCAAGTGGGGCATGGGAATTTCTCTAGAACGGAAGCTAGAAGCAGAATTCAGTGGCAGAGGGAGTGGCAGATGTTGCCAGCTGCAACCCAGGAGCCCAGCAGTCAGAAGCCATGTCCTGGCCCTAACGTCGAACCAACACGGCATCTTGCCACCATCCCAGCCTTTGTGCAGACCAGTGAGCAAGCTCAGAATCTCTTTCTGCTATCCCAGGGACAGAAAGAGAGACCAATAAGATATGGCCTGAAGGAAAGGAGGGACCAGAGACATTTGGTTCATCAAAGAGAAGAGTCAGGTTCTCCTGCCTGAAGTTCACCAACGTCGCTCTGAAAGCATCAGGCGTATGTGGCAGTGAGGACAGGCCAGTCATTCGGTCACCAGGGGACGGGCTGCCGTCTTCTACCTGTTCTGGGGCACAGCCAGATACAAGCCGTGGTGGCTCTGAGCAGGGATTCCCCAAAATAGCACAGCTGATAACATGTGACCTTATAAAATGGGCTGAGCAAGACTTGGACTCCAGCCCCACCGCAGCTGCTCCCTTCCCGGGTGACCTTGAGCCTCTCGCTTAGCATCTCCAGGGCTCGCTTTACAATTCAATAAAGAGCCTGCGATCGAGAAGGCGGAGAGAGACAAGCACGCATAACCCACGATGGGCGCCGAGGGACTCGCACAGCTCAGCACAGCAGGCAGTTTTGACCTCGACGTGTATTTAATCCTTGCTATCCTTGCGTGCTGACAGCATTCATCCTGGCTAACGGGATGAGTGGAACCGTCCTCTTTACTGAGCGATGCTGGGGACTCTCAGACATACAGGAAGGTCACTAGTGTGCTCAGACATGAAGACCTTTTAAAGTTACAGGAAATTTTTACAGTAAAAATTGTGGTGTATTTAAAATGTTTACATTTACCAGGTTTTTCACGATAATAAGGAAGTACAATGTAATGTGTTATCCAGAAGACAAACATAGAGATTATAGTGCAAGATGAGGAGTCTGGGCCAGTGATGAGGCACAGATTAAAAGCGGATTAGGAAGGGCCGCTGCTTTCAGCCCTGTAGCACATTAGAGAGAGTACCAGGAAGACTGTGAGTGAGAAAGGACAGGTCAGAGGCTGCTCTGAGTGGGTCCCTTGGTGCCTCTTAGGGTCTTCACAGATCCCTAGGATCAGTGCGGGTGTCCCCACATAAATGGCGGCAAACCTGCACCTCCTAAGCGTTCTTCCTGACTCTTAATAATAAAAACTAAGTGCAGAATCACGTAATCGTCATTCCTGCCAAGTGCAGTGATGCACACCCGAATTTCAGCTCCTGGGGAGGCTGAGGCAAGAGGACCCTGAGTTTGAGGCCGGCTAGCCTGGGCAGCTTGGTGAGACCTGGCCTCAAAACACAAAATGCTGGGGATGTAGTTTAGTGGGTGGGGAAGAAAAGCTCTTTGAGAACATAATCCTGGCTTGACCCACATGGCGACACGATATTCGTGGTTTCTCTTTGGTGCAGACTCTGAGCTACACCTGAATCCAGCTCCCGCGTACCTGCAGCAGGATCTTTGTGGCTAAGGGTCATCGTGCGCTCTCTTTGGTTGTACCCTTCATGTTTTCACTTCCATCTGGGGACCATTTTTCCTCAGTGAAAACTACTGTGAACTCAGTAGGGGAGTAGAGAGCCACATGCTCCACAGAAATGAAGTTGGCTGCGGTGGGGGCACAGCGGCAGCCCACTGGCCAACCCCCAAGGGCTGCTGAGCCAGGCACTCACCCAGCACAGGTATCAACGGCCCTGTGCTCTGGATCTTTGGTGTAACTTGGACAGTGCTGAAACAGCAGCTATTCAGCCTGTCAGCACCACGGCACCACTGACTTCTGTTAACAGAACCCAGCTGGAGGCAGCTTCCTCCTGGCCTGGAGGCCAACACACACACACACACACACACACACACACACACACACACACCCTACATCTCTGCTCTCCAGCTGCTACGCAGTTTATTTGTGGGTAGCCGTGTCTCCCTCCTCTGGACTTGAAGGCAGTAGGAGCGGTTCCTGAAAGACAGGCCAGACACCAGCAGGAATATGTTTGCTGAGGGCTGGGGAGATAGCTCAGTGGCCTAAATGCCTGTCTGGGAAGCTCAAGGACTTGAGTTCGATCCCTAGTACTCCATGCCGTGCTGGCCCCCAAACTGGGCATGGTAGTGCACACCTGTAATCCCAGCACTATGGGGGCTGAGACAGGAGGACTGGGTAGTGAAACCTGGTGTCAAAAAAAAAAAAATGTTTGCTGAGTGAATGTCAGCCAAAGGGCATGAGAAAGGCACTAGACCTCTGGGGAACACAACGCAAGAAGAATCACCTATCACCCCCCAAATGCAACTAAATTAATTTTAGCACTCTTCTTCCGGTAGTGAGGGTACATATTTATATAGCACTGAAATCACTTATATTACCTCTTATCAAATAATACAGTCATAATCATCAGTAATTATTTGTTCTTCTGTCATCGGAAGGTGCTGTCCCTTAAGCATTCCATATGGACCTTTCCATCTAATCCTTAGTAGATTTGGAAATCTACCTTTCTAGCCTATAGCAGATTAGAGGCAGCAAAATGCAGGATTGTAACAAGGAAGGATGACTGTGGGGAAGTTTGGCGCAGGATTGGCACGGATGCTTGGCAGCCAGGCGGTGGACGGGTGCTCCGCTTGGGTCAGGAGCAGGCCCCAAGGCCGGTGGGTCCCAGGCCTGGTCTCTGGCCCACGGCACTTCTGGGAGGTGAGAGCACTTGGAAGGGGCGAGGCCTGTGGAGGTGATGCTGGCGCTTGGCCCTCGCCTCCTCCTCCCTCTTTTCTTTGCACCTACCGTGAGCTAAGCAGCTCCCTCTGGTGCATATTTCTGCCGTGATGTTTGGTCTCACCACAGGCCCAAAAGCAGCGCAGCCAACTACCACAAACTACAACATCCAAAACTGTGAGCCAAAAAGAGACCTTTCCTCTGCCAGTTAACGGCCTTAGGTGTTTGGCTATAGGGACAGAAAGTCGATTTAACAGATGGATAGATGGCTTGACAGATGGTCCATCTTCCACAGATGAGATAACTGAGAAGTAAGCACAGAAGTGGATACCAGCAGATAGACACACAGGGAACTGAAGGCCAGGACAGGGAAGAGCACTCACAACCCTTATGGGATGTTTGGGTCATAAGAGGTCTTAGGAATAACCTTCGTACGGGGAGGGAAGAGTCTTAGAGAGAAGACCCACCTCAGGTGGACGCCCAGCCTGGAACTCAAGAGGCTTATGTGCAGCGATCCCACCCTCCTCTGCGCCTTGCCCCCCACCCATCCTCCTACTGCCTGTGCACAGGCGAGGTCAGCACGGGTCACACAGGGACCGCTAACACTTTGAGGAGCCAGGAACACAGATGCTGTCTCTGGGCCAACGCGGACTTCTTGTGGAACCGTGGACACGTCCCTCCTGTGGGCTCCACGGGGCTTTTGCAGATGGCTTTCATGAAACCCAGAGTGAATGCAGTGTGTCAGCGTCACCCTCTTACCCTTCCAGCTCCTTGCCAATGCTCAGGAAATCCTGATGGGAGGGCTGCAGCTCCTCAGCGCAGCAGTGAGTGGAAGCACGTCTGTCCTCCGTCCCGCGTGTGCACACCCAGCCACAACCACGGGCACACTGTCCACCTGACTGCCTATTTCCGTGGACTCACAGGGCAGAATTTATTAAAAAGTTGCTTCATTAACTATAAAAGCTTTCTTCTACACAAGTGCTGTTTTGCAGAGAAACAGAGCGGAGATGCAATTAACAAAGACATCTAATCACTAATCCTGTTCCATAATTACTCCTAAAGTGATCTTTACACACTGGTTTATTGCGTGTAAATTGGATCTGGCTTCAGTCCTGATACCCATGTTCTTCTAAAGAGTGATGTAGGCTCAAACTTTGTTTTTGTAGCTTCAGCTTTTTTTGTTTGTTCAGAACATTTACGGTTGGTTCACTTCCCATTTGAAAATCAAAGCCTTTAGATTTTGAACTAGAGATAAGATTAGAAAATATACCTGCATTATTCAATACTCATAAGGAAAAAGGAAGGGTAGCCAGCTGCACATTTAGGCCCCAGGCAGAAGGGGTACTCGAACAGGAAATCCAAAGGTGGAAAAGGTCCTGGCCTGGCAAGAAGGAGCACGAAGCAGACAGCGCCCAACGGTACACGGAGGGGGCTGGGCAGTCACATGCAGCAGCCCTTCCTGGCGCCTGGCACAAAGCTGGTCCCTGGAGAGCCCTTTTCCCCATGTAGATTCTGAGATTTTAAAGGCTACTGTCACCAAAAATGAGCCCACAATAAAAAAATTACAAAACAAATAGAAACAAGCCCCGGGGGCTTTGAGTCAATAGGAACAATAAACAGCACCCGCCCTGTTTGGCCTCTGTCCAGAGCCGCCATCCCCAGCTGAGCTCACCCCTGCCTCTTCCCATCTCCTCCAGGACCACTACTGGCTTTCCAGGAGTTTTTGACAACTTCATTATTCCACAGTTCCCTTGTCCTTATAAAATGAAGTCCAAAGTCCTTAGCCTGGCAAACAAAGCCCTTGAAAATGGTGCTGTACTTTTGCTTTCCAGTCTCAGCTATCCCACCCCACATTTCTACCCAACCAAATACCCTTTCTATGGCTGGATGAAAGCATTCCTGAATTTACCATTTACTTTCTTAGCTTTATGGCTTTGAACTTGCTGTCACCCCTAGATGCCCTTGCTACCTTCTCTAAATAGCAATAGCGAATTCCTGATCTCTCTTTGGTGACAACATGAATGGCCCCTCCTTGTGAAGCTCCTCAGACTTTCCCAGAGTTAGAAGTGCTTCCATACAGCACTCTGGAGGCTGAGGCAGGAAGACTGCCATGAGTTTCAGCTACATAGTGAGTTCAGGCCTGCCTGAACAACATAGAGAGACCATATCTCAAAAGAAAGAGGAGGAGGAGGATGAAGTGAAGGAGGAGGAGGAGGAAGAAATGAAGGAAGAGGAGGAGGAAGAGGACGAGGAGGAGGAAGAGGACGAGGAGGAAGAGGACGAGGAGGAAGAGGACGAGGAGGAAGAGGACGAGGAGGAGGAAGAAGAGGATGAGGAGGAGGAGGAAGAGGAAGAGGAAGAGGAGGAGGAGGAGAAGGAGGAGGAGGAGGAGGAGGAGGAGAGCTTCCTTTAAATTCTACTGATAATATCCAGATGGTCACAGAGGGCAGAGAGTGCGTGTCAGTAAATTCTTCAGCACTTGACTCACTCTGTTTTCCCAGGACATATTTATTGAGGCAATACAAGAAAGAATAATATGCGATCTTGATATCAGACACACCTAAGTTCAAATCCTCTATGTCATTTCTTATCTTTAGCTTTTCAGAACCTGGGATCATAAACTGCAAGCAATTAGTCCTGCCACCTTGAACTCACCCATCCTACTTCCATAACAGACATTACTAATCGATCGCTGCACTCTTCCCAAGGCCTCCAGGCCTGCCCTGAAACCTTGAGTGTGGCACTTCAGCTCCTGTCCATCAGGCAGAGCCAATCTGTGACACAAAACCTCCTTCCTATGTTGGTCATGGAGTACAGAAGACACACAGAGAACACACAGAATACAGTGTGTGACTCACACAGCTGCTCCAGGACTGGCACCTCTTTTACTTCCTCAAGTCTCAGGCTGTCAGATGCACAACTGGTATAGCAGGCTTTGGAAGGGTGAGGAACATTACCGTGCTGAAGTCCCACATCATTTTAGGTTACCTTCTGACTTGACAGAAGAAAACGTGGGTGAGGGAGTCGCAGAACTGGAGGAATCTAGCGAGAGCTTAAGCGAATGAACTGCAGGAGGCTCCTGGGCCTGGGTAAGCCTACTCGTCTGGGTCCTGGGTGTGGAGCAGAGCCGGGAGTGTCCCTGTGGCCACAGTGCAGGAACTTAGCTTTGCCAGGAAACGCCAGGAGACGCCTGCTCGGACCCAGCCCAACCTCCACAGTGAGGCTGGCCCTGCCGTGGCCCAGCGGGCTTTGTTGCTTCCCAGCTTTCATGGCTAAATGCATGTAAGATAAAACTTTCTACTTCCAAGCCGGGGAGATGGCTCAGTGGAATAAGCGCTTCCCTGGCAAGTGTAAGGGCCTGAGTTCAATCCCTGGTTCCGCCAAAAAAAAAACCAAATCTTTCTATTTCCATTGCTTCATAACTCAGAAATGTTGAATATGATCAGTGTTTTACAACCAACGCCACCATCTATTTCCAAAATACTTTTATCACCCAGAACAAAAACTGTATTTATTAAACACTAACTCCTCACTCTCTCCCTTCTTCCCCTGGCAACCACCATTCTACTGTTTTTGTCTTGAGCCCAGACCCACATCTCTGGTGTTTTTTAAATCCTGTATTCTGAAACAAGGTCTCACTAAGTCACTGAGTTGCCCAGGCTGGGCTTGAACTTGCCATCCTCCTGCCTCAGCCTCCCAGAGTGCTGGGATTACCAGCCTGTGCCACCACACCCAGCTTGTGTTTACTTTTTCAGGAATCAAGGCTGTCACTTTTATTTATTTATTTATTTATTTATTTATTTATTTATTTATTTTGCAGAACTGGGGATTGAACTCAGATCCTTGCGTTTGCCAGTCAAGCGCTTATCCTACTGAGCCATCTCCCCGGCCCCAAGGCTGTCACTTTTAGAAAACCCTCATAATACTGTCAACTAAATGATTTCAGAAGCCACTCTACCTCCGCTTTACCACTTTGGGAGGCAGTAAATTCCTGGAACCCAACATCCATGGCGCAAAGTTAGAAACAGTTTTGATGTAGTGCTCAAAATCATGGGCTCTGAGGTCAGAAACTCCACCACTACTGTGCAGCTTCAGGCAAGCTGCCCACATTTCAGATCAACCTGCTTCCACAGGTTAGCAAACAGAGGGTGTCAGCCCTTGTGTGGTAGGGACCGAGCATTTCTGAGGACCGAGCTAGCTACGTACTGCTGCCTGGAGCAAGGCCTGCTCTCCTACAGCACTGGGCTCGGCGAGCTCCTGAGTGTGTGAGAGGCCGAGGAAGCACGGGTGCGGGTTCTGGCAGTCTGAGGACCTGGCACCTCCCTCAGAATCCAAGTTCGGCTTCCGTCCAAAGAGGCCCAGAAAATGGGGCTGAGTACTCACAGGTGAGACAGGGAGGTCACATCTGCGAAGATGCCCTCTTGGAGGGTAGAGATGTCATTGCCATGGAGGGACCTAAGGAGAGAAGAGGCTGCCAGTGTGGGGCCCAGCGACAAGGGCAGAGACCAGGGCAGGGGCAGACCCAGCCCTCCGAAGGACTGTGCCCCACATCCTCCAGAGGGTGCTGCCTGAAGGCCACGCCCTGCTGGCCCCAGTGAAGGAAGGAATCAAATGACCCAGGCAGAGCACCCTGTCCCCAGTCCTTTGGGAGGAGCTGGCTTTGCCACCAGAACCAATGCATGCACCTACTTAACATCTGGAATAAGTGAGCCTGAGGCAGAACAGGGAAAGAGGCTAACAGCCAGCGGGGCTGACAAGGTCATCGTATGAGACGCAGCAGAGAGCTCTGGTCCCAAGGCAAAAATTCACAGTGGGAACTTGGAGGAAGATTCACAGATCTCTCACAAACAAACTTTTCAATCTGAGCACAAGTCCCATGTGCAAGTGGACACTCCCCATGTACCCTCCAAACTCAGGTCGGGGGACACAGCACCCTGTTCTTGGGTCATCCCCCTTTCCTGACTTGGCTTCTGTAAGAAGCCTGAGTGAGTGCTCTCGATTTCTGTCCCCAGACATATCTGGCCCCACTGAGATCCCAGACGTGGGCTATTTCTGCCGTCAGGTGGGGGCAGAGCCCTCTGTGGGGCAGGCATGCAGGAGCAAGCCATGAGGAGACTTACAGCAGGCGCAGGGAGCGCAGCCCCTGGAAGGCCAGAGGAGGGATGCACTGGAGGGCGTTGTAGCTGAGGATCCTGTGGGCAGGAGAAAGCTCTTTGTGGAAGGAAAGTACGGTACCCCGACACACACACACTGCGATGGGGGGGACACTCAGGCTCGTGTTCACTAGGATTGTGTTTCAGAGCCCACACACTAAACTGCCGTCCCTAAATGCTTCTGTGTAAGTGAATCCATTTAGGGGAGAAAAACAGATTAATAAGATGATGCCTGCGAAGGACCCACAGTGGGAATAGCCCTCGTGTGCACTGACTAAGGGACAGACGAGCTGTGGCATAGCTACACGATGGAGCATCACTCGCTGATAAAAAGGAAGGCACTACCGGCATGAACGATACCATGCGTGAATCCAGACATCACTGTGACAGCGGCGCTGGTCTCCTGGGTGTGCACTTGTGCCACAGCTTATTAAATTCTACAAGAGAGGAGCTGTCCGTCCCACAGCCATCTCTCCATGGCTGCCGGAATGCCTTTGGCCAGGGCTTCTCAGCCTCAGCGTTACTGAGACTCTTGGGTCCAGGGCTTTGCCCTGAGCCTTGCGGGCGTTTGGCACCCTCCCTGCCATGACCCACTCAATGCCAGCAGCATCCTCCCTCTGAGATGTGATAACCACAAACATTTTCAGACGTTGCCACACGTCCCGGAGGGCAGTCTCTGCAGGTTGAGAATGCAGGATCATGGGCCTAGACGGAGGGAGCTTCACATTGGAGCCCAGAAGGTCCTGCTAACACTAGGTCTCACGACCAGCATCAAGTCACGGGGTGTCGTGGAGACTGGGAAATGGGGAGCATCTCACTGGCAGATCCAGGGGCAGATAAATTCAAGTGTGGAACCCAGGTAGGTCTTTCCTGGCCCCAAACCTGCTGCTGGGGCCTGGCAGGGCCAGGACTCCTTTCCTCCCAGGGAGCCAGCTCTACTGTCGGATCTCAGCAAACCTCAGGAAAACCCCTGGGTTCCTGGTGTCCGGTGGGCCTCAGGAGGTGCGGGAGGTGAGCGAGACCGGTTCCCAAGCACAGGCAGGCTTAAGCGGTACTTATCCATGCCTTCCGATCAGTTGCTTGGACTGTAACTACAGCGGCATGAACACTTCTCAGGGTCTAGCCATAACCATGTGCGAAGGGTCCCTGCTCCCAACAGTCCAAGCCGGGGACAACTCCAGCACCCAAAGCAGGGCACATTCTGTGGAGGAGCACTGCGTAGCCATGCAGAGACCACAGCGACACACAGCAGGAATGGGTCGCAGGGACATAATACTACTAAGAGAAAGAAGCCAGACAGAAATGGACGTACCCTGCGAGCTTCAATTTATATGGGGTTAAAAAAGGGCAGAATGAAACTATGTTGTTTAGTAACACACATGTAGCTGGCCACGGTGGCGCAGGCCTGTAATCACAGCACTTGGGAGGCTGAGGCAGGAGGATCACCCTGCGAGTTCAAGGCCAGGCTGAACTACAAAGCAAGACTGTCTCAGGCAACAACAATAACACAACAGCCAAACAATGACAAGAAATACGTATGTAGATGACAGCACTACAGAGAAAATGAAGACGCCACTGTCTCCATATCAGGAAGGGGGCTGCCTGCGGGTGGGTGCAGGGAGGGAGACGGCCAGAAAGGAGCGGGCAGCCTGTGCGGTGCTAACACTGCTCCGAGACGTCTACACACGCGCTAGCTTTGTGATTATTTGCTGCAGGGCTTATTATATTTGCTGTACTTTTCCTTGCATGTGCGGTATCTTACACTGAAAGATGTGTTTACACACGAGAAACAACAGAAGGGGTGCTAGTTCTCAGGTTGTCTGCTACCCTCTGCGGGGGTCACTATGAGGGACCAGGGAGCCCTGTCCAGTGCAGGCTGAAGTCCTGAGCCGCATGCCCCACGCGTGGCCCTGCTGGTACTCACAGAGTGGTCAGCTGGCTCATGTTGGTGAACGAGGAATTGCTTAAGGAACTGATCTTGTTGTTACTGAGGTCCCTGGAAAAAGCAAGAGCATCATTTGAAGGGAAGAGACCAACTCTGGCTCGCTCTGTGGGCTCCCTCCCCCCCCATCTGCTCCTTCCCAGCCTCGTGCCCAGGGTGCCCTCCTCTGGTGCGGTGAGGGTAGCTGCCGAACTCCCTGTGTGTCCTAGGGCTGCTGCTGCGGCTGCAGGTCTCCGGCCCCTCTCCACCAGGGCTGCCCCCCCAGTCCCCGCCGAGTCTGATGGGGGTCACCTTCACCTGGCTAGCAATCAGAGTGGCCCTTTTATGAATGAAGACCCAGAGTCCCACAGGGATTAACTCACTCAGGACCAGCTGGCTACAGGCCCAGCCGGGCTCCACCCCAAGGGCAGGTGACACCCTTCATCCCTATCCTTCCTGGAGACTGTTTGCCACTCCAGCCTCCTCCATGGGCCTGTGCTCTTGGTCCCTGGTAACCAGCAGGCCTTGGAGTGGTAAGGCCCCGACCCCGTTCACCTTTAGCCCGTGCAGAGGTTGCCCCCTGTAACCCTTGCCTAGCTCTCTCCAGAACTCTCCACCTGATCTCCACAGACCCTCCGGCTGGGTGGAGCCTGGCCTTGGTTTCCGCCTCCCTCGTGGAGGGGTGGGAAGACAGCTCGGTAGAATAAGCACTTGCCTGGCTTCCTCCTCCCTGGCAACGCCACCCCTCCCACATCCCAAGGGGCTCACCTGACCTCCCCGGCGCGGGTCGGATCATCTTTCATACCCTTCCCTCTTCCTATTTTCTGCTCATGTCAAGCCAGCACTACCTCTCTCCTGCTTGCAACTGTGGTTTCTCCGTCTTCCCAGGGACAAATCTGACGTGGCTACATCCTTAGCCAAATCCCACACCCTCCATCTGAAGTGGGGATTCTAGCCCCAACCTGCCAGATGCCTCCAGCTTCCCTCCTACGAATTGACTACACTTCTGGGAACTCCACAGGCCTGCGTCCTTGGGTACTCGTGCCTTGTGCCCACTGACTTGCTTTCCGAGAGCATCGTCACGTCCTCCTCTGAGCCGCAGCGACACCTTCACGTGCCTCTGTGGGGCCTTTAATTCTCCCCGTGACCGTATGAGCTCCCAAGTCTCTCCCGTGGGAGCCCCACGACCCAGGGCCTTCGCATCTGCCTACCTCACGCAGGCAGACTCCAAAATGAAACATTCTCGAAGTAAAGGCAAGTAAACTGGAGCTGCAAACTTCTAGAAGCAGCGCTACTCGGACAGCCAGTCCTTGAGATGAACACCACCAGCGCATGGCAAGGAACTTGTTCCGAGAGCAACAAAACACAGATGAGCGTAGCAGGCGCTTCTCAGACTGAATTTGCCCACAAGCCATATTTTTTCTTTTAGGAACCAGGGATTGAACTCAGGACCCTGCGCTTGCCAGGCAAGCACTTATTCTACTGAGCCATCTCCCCAGCCCACAAGCCACACTTCGAGGCGGCACTAAGATGGGGTGTTCTCTGGACCTCTCTAGGTTAGAATGTTAAGGATAGAAGCAGACAAGGTCTCCCAGCGGGGCTGGGCGGGTGCAATTGCAAAGCATGGCCACTAGGTGGCAAAACAGCCTTAGGCACAGGTGTCCACAGGGAAGGGGATTCACAAACAGGATCTGCCCGGGAGCAGGGTTTGTAGGAAATTCCAGAAAAAACTGGAGCCATGATGGTCAAATGACAATGGCTTTCCGGGCCTCTGAGGGGGACATGAGAGCCTCAAGCAGCCTGAATACTCACACAAGTTGCAAGTACTTGAAGGTGGACAGCTGAGCTGGAACCAGCGTGAACTGGTTGCCGTCCAAGTAGCTGCGGAGAGAACACAGCGGCGTCAGAGCTGGCCCTGATGGTCCTGCGCGCCGCGTCCACGCCGCACGCCTGCTCACGTGCCGGTCAAGTCTGAAACCCTTGGCGCTCTCTGGCGAGAGGTTTTCCCGAAGGATGCTCACTCACCCTGGTGTCACTTACACGGTACAAATTGGAAATGAATATCCAGGAAAAGGGGATTTGCTATTGGAGCGAGGGCAGCGCCTGTGGAGTCGCTAATGAACAAAAGGTCATCTCTGTAGGCAGCTCTGCAGCAGCAGGGCGTGACCGCGAGACCTCAAGTGGGGACAGTAACGCTGTCCGTTTTCAACCCAGAGCTTACTTAGTTTAAAGGGATGAAACTCTTGCCATGGGATGCGTGACATCAGGGAGTGCAGAGGGGAGGCCAGGACAGGGCCGAAGCTTCCTAGGAAGCAGTGTTGCCTGTGGTACCCCCAACCTCCTCCAGGCAGCCCAGCCCTGCTCCCAGGCCGCTCCTCCCCCGCTGCTGCCAGGCCCAGCCCCTCAGGAGATGCCTCCCGTGTCCCAGCGCAGGCTACTCACAGCTCTGTGACGTTCTTGGGGATGCCCTTTGGCAGAGCCTGCAGGTGCTTGTTGCTGCATCGGACCACGGTGTCCAGGCAGGCGCACTCCTGGGGGCACTGCGGGCGGGGCAGGCAGCTCCCCTCCTCCTGGCCTGGGAGCAGGGCATGGGCCAATCAGCCAGGGCACGGGCCTTGCCAGGGCCGCCTGCACTCAGGGTCGCGCTCCACAGCCCCTCTTGGACGCGACCTTGGCTGCCAGCAAGGTCTCGCCCCCACGCACACCCTCTGCCCCCCCAACACACACTAACACCACCAGAGACAAAGGCTCCTGGAGCATATTGACATTAAAATGGGCCTGGGACCAATTTCTTCCACCTTCGCCCCAAGGAGGGGCAGGCAAAGCAGACAGGGAGGACAGCAGCCACACCATTTCTTTTCTTTTGGTTTTGTTTTTTGTTTGTTCTTGGTTTTTTTGAGACAGCATCTTGCTTGGAGTTCAGGTTGGTCTTGAACTCTCTACAGAACTCGCACTGGCCTCGATCAAAGCAATCTTCCTGCGCCAGCCTCGTGAGTCCAGGCCTGGCTCTTGAGCACCTCCCAGGTACTGTATCAGGCACTGCCTCCTCAGCAGTACACGAAAGAGCTGTTGTTTGACACCCTAGAAGGCAAGCGGTGCAAGCACAGAGATTTGGGTCTCTCTTTTCCTTTCTGTTCTTTCTTCTCACAGAGCCCAGCACTTGGCGCACTCAGTGCCTGGTGCGAAGCAGCCCTCTGGGTAGACCAGGTCCGTGAATACATGAATACATCACTTGAATGTCAGTCTCACCGAGGTCCAGAAAGGCGCAGTGCGGGCCCAGCCCTGGCCTGGCGACGCAGACCCTGCCAGGATCCCAGGACCGCTGCACTCAGTGACTCAATGTGGATCCCTCGGTGCCCTCCACGACTCCCTCTTTTCCAATTGGGTGCAAGCAAAAATAAAGCCCCAGGTCAGAGTTGTTGAAGACATGAAAAGCAGGTGGTATGCTGGTGTCTGACTGTCAGCTGAGAAGGGCTGGCCGGGGTGGGCGCCACGCGGCAGAGACGAGCTCCCTGAGTCCTCAGCGTCTCCCTAGTGGGCCTGCTACTGTGCGCCCGTTGCAGACAGGACGACAGGAATGCCGAGCAGTTGTGCAGCTCGCACAAGGCAATGTCCTGAAGAGGCAGCACTGGCGCGAGGCTGTAGCGGGCGACTTGGGAACTGCCCCCGCCTCTTAGCAGCAACATCTTGAAAAAAATCTTCTCACTTCTAGGAAATTATTTGAAGAGGGGAAAGCAGCACAGGCATGCATGAAGAGTCAGCTACAGACGTTTCTGGTGGAACAACGCAGAACAGCAGAGCTTCGGCTGTTCTCGAGACGCCAGCAGCAGGGGCCAGGCCAGGCCGCTGTGACACCTCTAGACGCCGGCGCACTGTCATGCTGAAAGGCCCTGCAGTTTCCTGCCTGTGTCCTCCGGTGCAGGAGGAGGCGCAGTGCAGGAAAGCCACCCTGCAGGACGCTGAAGTGAGGGGTTACCCAGGGCCGGGCGGGGCGCAGTAGTGACCAGTTCATCTCCTGGGCTGTCCTTAGTGAATGGTGGTGTGCGGATTTTTCTTTCTTTTTTTATTTTAAATAAGAAGAGCATATAGTTTCTTGGGTGAAAGAACGCTTTTGAGAGTTAACGGCAGGAGTCCTTGGGTTTGATCCCCAGCACACCAGCACAACACGACAACACACACACACACACACAACACAAGCCCAGGATTTTAAAAATTAGCAAGATATTATATAAAATCGAAATACAGAACTATGTGAATAATACAGCCTCCTTTTCTTTCTTTTCTTTTCTTTTTCCAGGGCTGGGGATTGAATGCAGAGCCTTCCTACCGACTACAACCCCAGTCCTTTTTAAATGTTCTTACTTTACATCACTAGGTTGCCCGGGCTGGACTAAGGCTCACTGACCTCCTCTCTCAGCCTTCTTGAGCGCTGGCCCCACACTCCTGCACCACCATGCCCAGATTTTTCTTTTCATTTGAAAAGTAGGAAGCAAAGTCACGATTAGGGAATCCACGGATTCTGGTTAGGAGAATACACTGAAGCTCTTTCTTGGTGTGTGACTGTGACTCCCCCAAGGTCACCATCATCCACACGTGACCTGGACGGGCTGGTCCTATAGTGCAGCTGACCTCTGAGGTAGCCGGGAGTGGGGACAGGAGGAATGAATGACAGGAGACCAGAGACCGAGGAGGCAGCTCAGCACTCAGGAGGACAGAAGGGCTCAGGGAGCTGAGGCTGCCAGGGAGGAGCTGCCTACGGCAGGGGTGCTGAGGACGCTGAAGAACACAGACAGCCGAGGGGCAGCGGCTCGGCCACCTTCAGGAAAATCTGCTTCCAATAGCAACCACGGCGTGTGAAGTTCTGAGGAAAACAGGACCACAACTTCCTGGTTATGAAGGGCAAGAGAATTGAGCGCTCAGATGGAACAGGACAGCAGAGCAAAAGGCAGCCAGGGTGCCCTCGTGTTGGGTGAGGGAACTGCAGAGGGTCCGGTGCGTGGGAAGGCACGTGCAACCCATGCCCAGAGCACTCAGGAGGCGCCTGGGCGCAAATCTCTAGGTGAAACACTCTCATAAGGCAAATGCCCTGGAAGGTCACTGTGATGTCTCTCTGCGTGATGGATGATGGGTAATGCTCATTCCCTTTTCCAGGCTACACTTGCTCATTTCTTAGGATCAGCACACTGCGGCTCTTAAATCTGTACAAGGGCACTTCCAGGTGGGCGTGTCTTCTTGCCATCTGTCCCCAAATTGTCCCACCCAGGGGCACAGGGGTGAGCTGCCCTCCACCTACCATGGCTCTGACCTGCCCCCCACCCCCAGCAGTGGGCCGGGCTGCGGGCTGCCAGTTACCTTCCTCACACCTGAAGTCAGGGAAGGCAACATCCTGCAGAGGGATCTGCCGCAAGAAGTCTGGGTTCTGGCAGCGAGGGTTCCCTGTCACAATCTTCCTCTTTCTCAGCCAGTCGCCCAGCCAGGCCAGCTGGCAGTTACAGTTGAATGGGTTGGCCAGGAGGTTCCTGGAAAAGACAGGTATGAGGCCGGGAAGGTACCCGGTGCATCTCAGTGCCCACCACCGTTGCTCATGTCCCTCAGAGCATTGGCTTTTGGGACCAAAACCAAAGCTTATGCTTCTGTAATCACGAGGATGCTGCCTCCCCAGAGGGAGCTCCATACGATCAGAGGAGACCACCCAGATGGCTGCCTCCACAGTCACCGGGCCAGCTGTCTCCGAGGCTGGACTCACAGCGTGGAGAGCGCCTGCAGGGTGTCAAAGGCTCCAGGAGAGATGGTGGTGATGTGATTGTCGTACAGCGAGAGGAGCCGCACATTGCGCAGGCCCGTGAAACTGTCGTTGTGGATGCAGCTGATACGGTTGTTCCTAAGCATCCTGGGAAGAGAGAAGGGGAGAGGGGAGCTCACCAGCTGCGCCCTGTGCTGTGCCTCATCAGAACTTGCCTGTGCCAGGTAGCGGCGGCCACGACCGGCTAGCTCCAAATGCTCCTCCAGAGTCACGAGTAGGTCCCGGAGCCCAGAGGGAGGACCCTGCACAGCTGTGCTTACCTCCAGCCGACGTCCCAGCCTCTAGGGGCCTTGTGCCTCCACCCTCCTCTCGCCCTGCCCACCCTGTCCCTGCAGGCCACCTTCACTTGGTGCTTGTCCCTGTCTTCACGCCCCACTCAGTGCCCAGGGACTTGCCACTCTGTAGCTCAAAGCCCTTGCGGTAGCTTCCAATTTGTCCACAGAATCAAGCTTAAAGCTCAGAGCCACCCAGCCCGAGGCCAGTGGCACTGTCACATGACCATGGCAGGGTCATTCCTGGCCCCACTAGGATGCCATTCTCCAGGGCCCTTTCTCCTCCACATAGAATAGCCTCTACTCATCCTCCAAAACCTCCCTAACCAAAAGTGAAAGCAGAGGGCCAGGGAGACAGCTCAGCAGCCTAAGTGCCTGCTTCACAAACACTAGAACCCAGGTTCAATCCCTGGTACGTGCCAGCCACCAGAACCAGGCGTGGTGACTCAGCACTGGGGAGCCGAGAGGGGAGGATCGCTACGAGTCTGAATTGTGCAGTCAGACCCTGTATCAAGCACATAAAAGAAGATACTTAATGCAAATTTACTAGCATCGAGTACATCTAGACAATGTTGAATTTCTGCCTGCCAGATAACAATAGCAATAATGATGATGCCAGGGTTGGCAGAGTGGGTGAACAGGCGTCTCTCCACCCAGTTGGCAGGGTAATGACAAGGTGCTGTTTGGTGGTGAGCTGGGTGAGAGGCGTTAAAAATCCTTACAAGGACACTTTCCACGTCTACTGCTGGCTCCTCTGAAGATGTCACCAGAAGGGAGGAACCACAGATGGGCACAGAATTCCTTGATAAAAATATTAATCACAACATTTCATATAATAAAAATGAGAAGCAGCTAAATTTCTATTATTCACATAGTACAGTCATTAAAACCAATTTTATAAAAGGAATTTAAATGATCTGTAGAGGTGCCCATGTTAAGGTAAAAAAGATTACTAAATAAAACTGATTCGAGGATTCTACTAAAATCTTTCTGTATTTCAGATATACAAAATAAATGAGTCCCAAATGTTATAGCACAGTAGAATGCCTATAGTTTCATAGATTTAAATTTTTCTAAGAGGGTAGATCTTCGTGAGGGGTGTGTGTACATGTGTGTGTGTGCATGTGTGTGTGTGTACATGTGTGCATGCATGCACGTGTGTGTGTGTGTGTGTGTGTGTGTGTGTGTGTTATTGAGAATGAACTAAAGGAGCACTGAGATTCATCTCCAGCCCTTTTAAAATTTAGTTTGGACACAGCATCTTGCTCCATTGCTCAGACTGATCTCAAACCTGCAATCCTCCTGCCTCAGCTCCCAAGTAGCTGGGACTAGAGGCCTATCCAGGGTAACCACTGCGCGCAAGCGTGCGTGCATGCGTGCGTGCATGCATGTGTATGTGGTATCAGGGACTGAACTCACGGCCTTATGCTGGGTGTTCTTGTTCCACTAATAATAAAGAACGAGGGTGGGAGTAAGTTTTGGAGAGAACGAGTATGTCTATGGCATAACTGTGACAGCTGCGCAGACCGACCTGTATCTGTATGGGTGTGTGCGCGTCTCCACGCGCTTACGCACAGTATGGCAGCAAGCATGCAGGTATACCAGAGGCTGGAAGGACAGCTCCTGATGGTAGCAGTGGTCCTTGCGGGGCCTGCACGCCCCCGACCTACACTGACCGCCCCACCCCACCCCCGCCCCGTGTGTCTCTGCTGTCTCCGGCACTGAACACAAGTGAGTAGAGAGATCCCAGTGCATCCTTATCCAAGGAAAACTGGACAAACATAAAGAAGCATAAAGCAGCCAGATGGGAACAGCCTAGAAAGATGGCCGTGCTGAAAGCAAGCTACAGGACAGTGCTGAGTAAAATCCTTTTGTAAAACACATAGAGATGGGAGGGAGCCCTGTCACACACTCATTCACCTTCCACAAACACAGAGATGCCTGCTCAGAAGGCAGATTTATCCCTGATGCAGAGTTGGGATTTACATGCAGGCAGGTGGCTTCCTGAACTGCGTGGCCAATACCCACATGCAGCTATTTTGATTTTTTTTTTTTTTTGGAACTGGGGATTGAACTCAGACCCTTGTGCTTCCCAGGCAAGTGCTTATTCCACTGAGCCATCTCCCCGGCCCCTAGATTTTAATGAATCAAAACTAAGTAAGTGTCACACAGTCACTTTGCAGCTTCCGGGTTGGTCAGTGTAGACACAAAACATTCCTTTGTGGTGGGAGGTAGCCCTGTCTAGTGGACACTAAAGGTCCCCAGGGCCACCTGAATTTCTGGCTCTGCCTAGGTGGACTGTGTCTATGGAGTGGTGAAGACCCCAGGGTGCCAGGGAGCTCCCAGGGCCAGGCAAACTCTAGCTCTAGGTCATGGGTCCCCAGTCCAGGGATGGCATCCCTGGTCCAACATCACAGGTCCCCCATGTCCCCTAGGCAATGTCTCCTCAGCACTACTCAGCCCACCCTGCTTGCACCTGTGCTGGGCTACTGTAGCCTGACCACAGGACACAGTGCCACATGACTCTAGACCTTTCTGAGGAACTAGCCCACACACTAGGGAACAAGAGGACAGGCCCCACTGCAGGGCTGCTGGGGTGGGGCTGCCTGTCCTGCCCTTTCTCTTTCTTTCCCTCCAATGCCTGGCCCCACACTCACAGGGTCCGCAAGCCGTCCAGACCCCGGAACATGCCGCTCCGGATGGACTCCAGCTGGTTGGCAGTCAGATGCAGCTCACTCACGGAGGCCGCGCCCTCGAACGCGCCGTCTTCAATTTCTGACACCTTGTTGTTGCTTAGGTTGCTGGGATAGGAGGTATGCAGGGGTTTCCAAGCCTGTACCTGGGAGCGCCTCCCTTCCGGCGCCGAACACCGCCATGCCCAGGAGCCGGGTCCCCAGCTCCCGGAGGGCTCCCCACCCCAGGCTTTCCCCTGTTCTTCCCAGGCTGGCTCCCCGCGGGGCAGCTCCCTGCCAACAGGTCACTCACATTTTCTTCAAATGTGTAAGTTTTTTAAATATCCCAGTGGCCTCCAGGAGGGAAATTTCATTGTTATTCAATCGTCTGTAAAGAAAAAAAAAAAAAAGACAATGAAGAGAAAAGAGACATGCCAATAAAGATGGACACTGGGGGACCTTTTGAATTGAGACTGATTTAGACGCAAGCACAGGGGACTCCTAGAAGAATTTCTCTGGCAAGGCCAATCGGCTCTGTTTCATAGGAAGCCTGGGCCTGGGCCTAGGGGAGACGTAAATGAAAGTATTATGAAAAGTTATGTACACGAGTGACCAGGCATGCAGGAGGCTACGCACAAGCATGCGGATATGCATGAGCTCATTTTCACAGGTTAAAAATTAATAGTGATGGGATGGCTGAAGTCCCAGCTTAAGCTCATGGAATCATGTCCCCCCAAAGAAGACAAAATGCCACTGGGGAAAACCACCCCTTGTTCAAGCTGGTGACCCAGCCTGGGCACCAAAGGCTTTGAGGCAGCCCTGACTGGTGTCTTCTGTGGTCCCAAACAGAGTGGAGCAGAGCAAAGCCTGGAGCCAGCACGGCGGGATCACAGGGTGCTGGGGAGGGGTCCTGGGGGAGGGGGGTCCTCACAGCTCAGCTGTGGACTGCGGGATGCGCTCAGGGAGCTTGGAGAGCTTCAGGCTGGAGCACTCCACCACACTGGCCTCACAGCGGCACTTGTGGGGACAGGCGACGTGGCTGCTGCACTCGCTGTTCAGCTGGTAATCTTCAGTGCCTGTGGGTGACGGGGTGGGCCAGAGCTGAGGGCCGCAGCAGGCTCTGAGCAGCCCCAACCAATCCAGGGTGACCCGAGCCCTCCAGCCTGCCCACCCACTGCCACCATGCTGTCGCTTCTTACCTGGGATGAAGTACTGCTCCTTGGCTGGGGAGAAAAGCAGACGCATTAGGACGCAGGAGCAGCTGGGCCTGCCCGCAGCCTGCTGTGGCGCCCAGGACTGTGGTTGGAACACACATGCCCAGAACACCTGTGACCCTGCGCAGGACCTCGCAAGGCAGCGCCACACCTGAGCAAACCTCTCACTGCGAAGGCACAGGCAGGACTGTGCTGACCTCACGCAGCGGACAGAGCAGGGTGGTGTCAGTCCTGAACCAGGGCCAGGCGCAGAAGCAGCCCACAGCGTCCCTGGCGAGATGCCAAGTGGACTGTAGCGGCTGAGGGCACTTCAGGGTCCCACAGCCTCGAGGGGGCTCCTACTCATAAAGCCCCCAGGTGTCTTGTAAGGCCTGAGAGCAGCAGCACCTGCAGGGGTGAGCTGGCTGTGAGTGGACACCAGGGGCTCCTGCTGGGCCCACAAGAAACCCCGCCTCCCAAACACCAACGCAGACCCAAAGCCTAGAGTGTGGGGCCTTCAGTGGGAGACCAAGGGCCTGGGGACACCCTAGTTGGGGCCCTCCAGGACCTACCACTGGATCTCTGAGCCAACCACAGGCAGACAGACAGCAGACAGCTACCTGAGCAACGGAACTTCTTGCTCTTGATCTGCCCGATGCGCTTGTTGGCGAGGCGCCGAGGGCTGGCACAGCGGGCCCCACTGGTCTCTATGGGGTTAGTGCGCAGGAAGTCCGCCAGCCACTTAAGGTTACAGTCGCAGATGAAAGGGTTCTGGGCCAGGTGCCTGTCAAGGGTGCAGGGTGGCCGTCAGAGATCAGGACTGGCCTCCTCTTGGATGGACCTTGCTGTCTGCTGTGGCTCAGGTGGCTGCTCTTCATATGAATCCCACCGCTAGTCGTGGCAGAAGTGGGAGGTAGGGTCGCTGCCACCATGCACTGGCCACCTACAGAGAAGCCCTGCTGCTTGTCGCTTGTCACAGCAGGAAGGGACGCTGCAGCTGGAGCCATTTCCAGGAAAGCCAGAGCTTCCCCCTGTGCCTGCACCCCTTGGGCCCTACACTGCCTGCTCTCGACCCTCCTGTCTTCCCTTCTGCCTGGGACACTCCACAAGCATGACTGAGGCGGGGGCACTGGAGACCAGACAGAGTCCCCGAACGTAGGGGCATCAGCACCAGGTGAGGCCACAGCCTTCAGACCGCTGCCGGCCGCAGGCTCAGCTTGTCCCTCTGCCGCTGCAGTCTGTCTCCCATGGCCATCATGCTGGTGGCAAGACTGATCTGGTGGAGCCCTGGGCCACCCTAGAGTCACCCCGCACAGGCCAGCCAGCTCCGCGACCCATTTCCAAGCCTCTCTCCGTGCACAGACAGCACTATCGAATGGCTGCTCTGGGAGTCGCTTGGCCTCGCGGGCGGCGCGGCCTGTGTTGGCAGCAGGTGAATGCAGTGAAATGTGGTGGGGGCGGGTGGCAGGCTGCAGGCACCGTCACAGAAGGGCAGAGGATGAGCAAACCCCGAGCCTCTTAGTCTCATTCATTAAAAGCATAACTGTGCTTTCTTCTGAGGCTGTCAGGGATTTAAAACTGTTTTTGCTGAAAACAAACAAACAAACAAATAAACAAAAACAAAAACAGCAATGACTCCTCCCTAGAGCCTACAAATGCCTAATGGGTAACTAACACTAAAGGCTTAGTATTTCTGCTTTCATTTGGTATCGCTTCTCTTTTACTGCCTTAAAATTGGGCCAGATCCTTGCTCGGCTCAGAGTGGAGGTGAGGTGATCACTGAAGGAGTGTGTAACGACAGGAGTCCCCCATTTTCTTTTTTTCTTTTTTGTATTTTATGGAAGTGTCTACAGGGTGTTCAGGGTCTCACTACTAGACCAGACTCGTAGTGATCCGCTTGTTTACAGCCTCCCAAGAGCTGGGATTACAGGCACACGCCATTACGCCCAGTCTCAATTGCAGTCTCAGCGCACCCCGGGGGTGGGGCCAGCATTGCACGCCAGGGGACTGAACCCCCAACCCCTGCGCCTGCTCATAGATGCTTTAATCTGCTGAGCTATTTGGCCACCCTCCCCATTTTCTCCTACATTCCAATTAATGCTTTTACCTATAAATTCATGTTGTCACTTCAGTTGTAATTTCCATGGTCTTTAATGTCATTGTCCTGCAGCAGGATTTCATGCTAGCCAGTGATACTGCCTCATGGCAACTGGGATGGTTAGAATCAGAAGGCAATATTTTAAAAAAGCAAATAATTACAAAGGTTGTTGGGGAGCTTGTCCAGACCGTGGGCACATCATGACACACCACTGGCGGGAATGCTAAATGCTACAGCATCGCGGGAACACTGGCAGGCTCCTTAGCAAGTGTAAAGTTCCCCTGTGGCCCAGCAGTTCTAAGACAAGCAAACGTCGGTCCACACAAAGATGTGTAGGTGACTGCTGGTAGCAGCAACATTCATGATGGTTCCCAAGTGCAAATAACCCTAAAGTCTTCAACGGGAATGGACAAACTAAACACGTCCATCTGATATATGGAAAGCTATTTGGCAATTAAAAAAAGATCAAATGACACAGGATATACTATGGATAAACCTCAAAAATGTCACACTAAGTGAAAGAGACATCGCAACAGATGGTGTGTTGTGTGACCTTATGAAATGACCAAAGAGACAGCATACAGACACCAAGTATCTGGAGTGAGGGATGGAAATGGGGACTGAAAGAAAACAGGATTTGAGGGAGGAATGATGGAAACATCCTAAAATTGAATCATGATAATAATCGAACAACTCCAAGGTAATTGAACAACTTTCTGTTCTACAGCTTGTCTAAAAGTGATTGATTTGTATAACTGTAACAGGTGAACGTTACATATGTAAGTTATGCCTCCCTAGAGTTGGGTTTGTTTTTGTTTTCTGTTTGAGGCAGGGCCTTGCTACGTTGCCCTGGCTGACTTTGAATTCCTGGATTCAAGCATCCCACCTGAGGAGCTGAGGTGTCAGCAGTGCCTAGCTACAAAGCTTTTCAAAGCTGTTGTCGGGCTTGACCCAGGGCCTCACATGTGATGGGCAAGTCTCCCTCCCAGGGCCATATCACCAGACCTTTTGCTATTTTTCATTTTGAGACAGAGTCTCACTAAATCACCCAGGGTAGCCTTAAACCTTTGCACCTCCTGCCTCGGGTCCCCACGTGCTGGGCTGACAGACGTGTGCTATCATACCCAACGAGCTGTTTTGTTTGTTTCTAAATGTGAAATGCAAATAAAATTACTGCTGCATCAACCTATGACACAGAGCATTTGGTCGTGAACTCTACAGTTATGGACAAGAGAAGCAAGATTTGGTAATTTTCTTTTAATGAGCAGAATATATTTATTAGAGAAAGAAAGCTCCTGTCCGGAGAGAGGGACAGGAGGGGGAGGGGGGACCGAGCGGGTAATGCCCCCCCTAGATTTGGTAAAATTAACTGTTCAGATCTGACGCAAGACTCAGTCAAGCTTAACTACTCCAAGGCTACAGTAAGGATACCTAAGCGCACCATGGATTTACGCTCCTCTTATTCCTGTCCCAAACTGCACCTCAGTTGCCAGTACTCAGTGTGTGCTTGTGAAGGTCCAGCCTTGCCTTGTAGTCTTAAGTAAGAAGTCTATTCACACAGAAGCAGCAAGACTGAGGGAAGTACACTGGCTTGCTAGCGATGGGGGAAGACCACCTGAGGTTGGGGCCCTGTAGGAAGAGCTCTGCTATGAACTTGGGGTCACACAAATGCCCTCTGCTTCAGTTTCCTTTTAGGTAAAATCGAGGATGATGGCACCCACCTCCCTATGAGCATTGTAAGTGCTGAGCAAGATGATGCACCGAGGACCGTGACTCTGAGGGTCCTCAAACCCCCTTGGGCCCCAGGCCTCTCTCTGTGCATCCCTAGCCCTCTCATTTCCTTAGGGGGTCTCTCTCAGACTTTCTGCTAGCTTTGTAAAATAATCCACCTTGCCAACGTCTCTCCATAACCTCGAATTTCACATACACAGTTTAGTCTCCCCACAGGGCTCCATCTCTCTCTGGCTGTGAGTAAATCACTTAGCAGCAGGCAAGCTACAGGCACATGTGTGGGCTTGAATGAGTTTGTTTCTGTGGCTGATGTGCAGACGCCTGGGGAGCAGGTGCTGTACCTTGTATGCAACCTATTGGAACCCACCCCCAGAGTTCCCACGTTTTGCACCATAGACGTGGTTTACCTCATGGTTTTGCTCTACAAAAATCCTGGGAAGCCCACCCCCAAGCCCACCCAGTGAGTGAGAACTTCTGCGACACTCTCGGGACCCCCAGATCCAGCCTAGCACAGGCCCGGCGACTGTGTGGGAGAGCTTCTAGCTTCCCTGCACCTGTGGGACCTCTCTGGACCAAAACTCAGGCGCACCGCGTGAGTGAGACCATCTACCGTGCCCTCGGGACCCCTCCACGCCTCCAGAGCCCCCGCTCCCAAGCCCGCCTAGTCAGTGCGAGCTTCTGCAATGCTCTAGGTCCCCCAGATCCAGCCCAAGCCCAGGCCCAACTAGTGCATGGGAGAGCTTCTGTGCTCCTCTGTGCGCCCTGGGCCAGGGGCACAACAGAGGGGCACCACAGGTTCACTGTTGTGCCAGAGGGGCACAACAGGTTCACTTCCAAGGGCTGTAGCTGGAAGGAGCTGAACACAACAGCCAGACCCAGGCCAGGCATAACTGGATAAACTCAAACGTAATAGATCTGCACCCGAATTTCAATAAGTGCTAAGATTATAACTGCACCAAAGCTCTACACCAAAGGTCAGAAGTCAGTGCTATACGAAATGACAAAGACAAGGAGCAAAATGCAATCTCAGGCCTCAAGCCCACCCAGAACAAGTGCAGAGGACACTAGCTCAGCTGCAATGGATGAATTTACAGTGTCGGAAGTAAAGAAACAACAGCAGAAAGGTATAAAGGAACTCAGAACAGAATTAACTTCTGAAATACAAAAAAGAAATATCTGAATTCGTAGCATCTGAAGTAAAGAATCAAACAGAGAAACATAGGGAGGAAACCCAATCTGAAAAAACTCTGCAGTAAAAGAATTAATAACTGCTTAAGACATTGATTAAAAAAAATAGAGGAAATTAGAAAAATGACAGATTCCTTGTATGAGCAATACATGGAAGAAACAGATCACATGAGGCAGAGTGAAAGAGATATAGAGGAACTTAAAATGTCAATCACAAGCTGCAAAACTGTTTGAGTGAAAGTGAAGACAGAGTTTCAGATCTTGAAAACGCTGGTGCAGCTAGTGAAAAGGTAAGAAAGGATCTCTTAAAAACAACTAGGATGCAGGAAAAAATAATCCATCACCTACAAGATGATGCAAAGATGAACAATGTGAGACTAATAGGCAGCAATGAAAAAGGAGTCAATACAAATGATATAAAAAGAATATGGGAAGAAGTAATAGCAGAAAACTTCCCAAATATGAGGAAACAATCTGACTTTCAGGTAACCGAAGCATACAGAACACCAAATAACTTCAACCCAATTAAAAACACACCAAGACATATAATAGTCAAGATCCCAGAAATACAGCACAGGAATAATATACTGAAAGCCGCTAGAGAAAAGAAGCAGATCACATTCAAAGGAAAACCCATCAGAATTATGGCCAACTTCTCTTCACAAACCAGGAAGGCAAGAAGAGCATGCAGCAGAGTACTTCAAGTCCTCTATGAAAACAAATTCCAGGCCAGCCTACTATACCCTGAAAAACTCTCTTTCAAGTTT